TGGGGTAAGTGGTCTTATGTGTATTATGTGTATTCTCTTACTTATTTAATCCCTGTCACAATCATATGAAGTAGTGAATCAGTTAGAATTCAGTTCAACTCCAAAATAGCAGAATCTTAACCAAGATGGACCGTGTATTTCTCCAGACAACATGTGCAGGTGGGCTGGAGGCAGACGGCCTCCATCGGGACTGGTGTGGCCTACGGAGTCAACACGGCCCCTCCTCGCCTGCTGCCGCTCCACCACCAGTCAAGTGCCCTCTCACGATCCCAAAACAAGCAGTAGGATTTAACCATACATGCTGATTTCTAATGTTTTATTTATTATTTTGAAGGACAGAGAGCACATGTGCGGGTCGGACAGAGAGGGAGGGAGACAGGGGAACCGAAGTGGGCTCTGCGCTGATAGCAGAGAGACTGATGCCAGGCTTGAAACCAGGAACCGTGAGATCATGACCTGAGCTGGAGGCAGACAACTGATTGAGGCACCCAGGTGGCCCAATATATGCTAATTAATTTTTTTTTTATCAAATGGGAATACTATGTACAACTTTATCTTAATAAATTTGAAATCGTAGATGAAAGGAACAATTTCCTAGAAAAATTTTTTTAAAAACTGTCAAAATTTAGGCAGGAAAACATGGAAATTCTGAATATCCAATATCCTATAGGGGAAATAATAGAAATATTTTTATTTTTATCATCTTTTTAACAAAATTTTTGTGTGCTTATTTTTGAGAGGGAGGGAGGGGGAGAGAGAGAGAGAGAGAGAGAAACACAATCTGAAGCAGGCTCCAGGGTCCAAGCTGTCAGCCTAGAGCCTGTCATGGGGCTTCAACTCTTGAGATCAAGATCTGAGCCGAAGTCAGACACTCAACCGACTGAGCCACCCAGGAGCTCCTTTATCATCTATCTTTAATGAAAACAAAAAACAGAAAACCTCTTAGTAGGCAATAATGGTAGTCAGGGTATACATTCTGGTTGTAACAGAGGTCCAAAATGCAGTGGGTTAAACACTGTATCTGTTTCTTTCTCATGTCACGGCCTGGGTGTAAATCTAGGGCAAATTTGGGGGCTCCATAATCATCAGGAATCCAGACACTTTCCATCTTATTGCTTTGATACCTCTGGGTGTTACTTGCCTCCGCATGGCCCATGCCACTAGGTCCAAATTTCTGCTAGCAGCTGGGGAAAATAGGAAGACATGACCCATCCCTTTTGAGTAAGATACATGCATCACGTCTGCTCACATCTCATTGCCTTCAGTTTAACTACGCGGCCATACTTAGCTGCAGGGGAGGCTGGGAAGATATATTCCTTACTCTGAATGGCCATGTCCCTATTGAAAACTTGTTTAAAATTCTTTTAATGCTTACTTATTTTTGAAAGAGAGACAGAATGCAAGCAGGGGAGGGACAGAGAGAGAGGGAGACACAGAATCTGAAGCAGGCTCTGGGCTCTGAGCTGTCAGACACAGCACCCGAGGCAGGGGTCCAACTCACAAACTGCAAGACCATGACCTGAGCCGGTCAGATGGTTAACGGAGCCACCCAGACACTCCCCAAAATTCTTACTGTAGAAGAAAACTGATATTGGGGAACAGCTAGTAGTTTTTTTGCTGAGAATGAGAATAGATGCTCCTTGGGGCGCCTGGGTGGCTGTCGGTTAAGCGTCCGATTTCGGCTCAGGTCATGATCTCACGGTTCATGGGTTTGAGCCCCGCGTTGGGCTCTGTGCTGACAGCTAGCTCAGAGCCTGGAACCTGCTTCGGATTCTGTGTCTCCCTCTCTCTCTGACCCTCCTCTGCTCACGCTGTCTCTCTCAGAAATTAATTTAAAAAAAAAAACATTAAAAAAAAGAGAATAGATGCTCCTTAATATAGAATGGATATATATCAGAGGCAAACAATGAACAATTGTAAATCACCAAGAGTATGTTCATTAACTAAGACAATGATGCCTACTGTTCTCAATTTTTAATTGTTTAGAGAGTTCTGGACTAAGACTGAGAAAATAATGAGTATAAATTCTGTTAATGAATACAAATTTTCTGGAAAGAAAAATTTTCAGTTTTTAATTATTTATAGATTATATTTCCTAGCTAGAAAAATAAACTAAAATTACTTTAGGAAGAAAAAGAAGTGCTACTGGGTGGTTAATTTCAGTATAATTGTATACAAATAACTTGTCATCTATCAGCAATGCCCAATAACATATATGGTAAAAGTGCCAGTTATTTATTGTTTCTCAGCCCCATTTTGTCACGCTTTGTGATAGTAGAGGCTATAGGAATGCTAGCCAACTTGATGTTAGTCCTTGCCAGTAGAGGGCGATGGAAGAACACTGTTAAGTCCACACCTAGAAAAGGGGACTGTCAAGGTTCTTTTCCCCTGGGCAGTTTTCCACCGGGCGGGGACCCACAGGGCAGTGGGCAGTGGGAGGAAGCACCCCACCAACTACTTCAGCAGTCTTCACAGGGCAGGCTTGGTTCATGCCCTCCAGCAAGTTGTTCAAGCCAAGGGTGGAAGGTGGGTGTTTGCCTTAACGATGTGAAAACACAGAAAAACGGAAAAATTCTAATTGCCCAAGAGGAAGCGATTTTATTTTCTCTCTTTTTTTTTATATAAATAGTTTGTCAAGTTGCTTTCCAACAACACCCAGTGCTCATCCCCACAAGTGCCTTCCTCCATGCCCATCTTCCCCCTCTCCCCCCACACCCATCAGTCCTCAGTTTGTTCCCAGCATTCAAGAGTCTCATGGTTTGCCTCCCTCCCTCTCCCCCACTATTTCCCCCCTTCTCCCCCACGGTCCTTCGTTAAGTTCCTCCTAATCCTCCTATACGTGCAAACATATGGTATCTGTCCTTCTCTGCCTGACTTATTTCGCTCAGCATAACACCCTCAAGGTCCATCCATGTTGCTACACATGGCCAGATTTCATTGTTTCTCATTGCCATGTAGTATTCCATGGTATAGATAAACCACATCTTCTTGATCCATTCATCTGTTGATGGACACTTAGGCTCTTTCCATGTTTTAGCTATTGTGGAGAGTGCTGCTATGAACATTGGGGTACATGTGCTCCTATGCCTCAGCATTTCTGTATCCCTTGGGTAAATTCCTAGCAGTGCTATTGCTGGGTCATAGGGGAGTTCTATTGTTAGTTTCCTGAGGAACCTCCACACTGTTTTCCAGAGGGGCTGTACCAGTTTACATTCCCACCAACAGTGCAGGAGGGTGCCCGTTTCTCCACATCCTCGCCAGCATCTAGAGTTCTCTGATTTGCTCATTTTAGCCACTCTGACTGGCGTGAGGTGGTATCTCAGTGTGGTTTTGATTTGTATTTCCCTGATGAGGAGGGATGCTGAGCATCGTTTCATGTGTCTGTTGGCCATCTGGATGTCCTCTTTGGAGAAGTGTCTGTTCATAGCTTCTGCCCATTTCTTCACTGGGTTGTTTGTTTTTTGGGTGTGGAGTTTGGTGAGTTCCTTATAGATTTTGGATATTAACCCTTTATCTGATATGTCGTTTGCAACTATCTTTTAAGAGGATGAGATTTTAAATAAAATATGGAACTCCCCTGCTATGGAATACTATGCAGTCTGCAAAACAGATGCATTTTATTTGTATATGGTGATATGGAAAGATATCCTTGATAGACTTTTGAGTCAACCAACGTTACTTACATGTAATGATTCCAGATTTCAGTACAGGTATTCACAGATCTATAAGAACAGGTTAAAATATTAATAATGCTCACTTGTGAATGGCTTTATTAGGAATATTTTTTCACCTTCACTCATCTTTGCCTTCAACAAATTCAACAAATATTGTTACTCAACAGATATCGTGACAGGCACAAATCCAGGTGGGAGCAGGGCAGTGGAAACTGATCTCACAGAGCTTATACTCGAGTACTGGGAGACAAATATCACATAGGTCTGTCAAGCAGTGATAAAAACAAGGCAGAGCAGAAGCATGGCGGGGTGCTGTTTACACAGGGTTAGGGAAAGCCACTTGGAGGAAGTGACATTTGAGCAGATTGAGGGAGCTAGCCTTGTGGATACAGATAACTTTATAATTTTTCATACTTTCTTAATTTTCTTTTCTACACTAAGTATGCAATACTTGCGTAATCAAATCAAAACAAGAGAGCTCTGTATTTCCGGAAAAAGACCTGGAGCCTCAGATCTCCAGGTAGAGAAGCGGAGTGTGGGAGCAGGTACAAATACATGGAAAGTACCCAGCGCTCCCTGCCCCGAGAACCCCGCCGCCCCGCAGACGAAGCTGCCGGTGGGAAAGACAGGCGGGGCTCCCCAGGGTGAGCGTCCCCGCCTGCAGCGTCCCGCGACACGACCCGGGCCCGACGCTCGGGGACGGAGTTGCCGCAGGAGGCTCCGCGGCCCTCACTGGACTGCATTTCCCAGGAAGCCCCACGCCTCTCTAGGGGCGGCTAAAGACTGAGGCGAGGGCGGGACTCAAGAGGCTGGAAATGAGTCTCCCGGGGCCGAGCTCCAGTTCCTGGGTCGCGCGCGGGCTTTCGGCCCTCCGTTCTCGACTGACTCAAGGAGGGCGGAAGGAAGAGTTCGTCCTCAGGGCATCCCTTCCGGCGGTTCAGCAGCTCTAGTCGTGGCTGGGCCAGACGTCGTCTCGGGCACCAGACCAGCCTTGTCTTTCCCTTTTCGCCGTTTAGTGGCCAGAAAGGGAGAGAGATCTGTCTGAAAGGACGAATCTAGACACAGGTCTCAGTCTGGGGGCTTAGATGTTGACGCTCAGGGCGACGCTGCCTGGTGATTGGCCAACTCTGGAAATTCTCCCCGTTCATTGGCTATCCATCGGGGAGAAGGCGGACTCAATGGGCGAACGGCCTCCTGAGGCGTGTACTGCAAGTGCTTGCTGCGGCGCATGCGCCATGTTGTTTCCCGACGAGCCCCGCGCAAACTTCCGGCGCAGGGACCTGGCGGCGGAACTAGGAACCTTGGGCGGTTGTGGGCGGCGTGTATCCCGGGGGCGGGACCGGCGACGCGGGCCGCGGAGCTCAGACGTCGACTGCGGGGATCCGAGCGGTCGGGGTCGGCGCCCCGAGACTGAGGCCGAAGGGGGCGCGCGCCGCTGGGAAGTGCCGGGTTTGGGGGCGCGCCTGCATCGCTGGCCGCCCAGTGCCTCTCAGTTGCGCACAGGCAGAGCCGCCGGGGTCGGAGCGCAGGGCTCCGGCCAGGTCCGCCTTCTCGCCCGCCGCGTCCTGCGAGCGACCCTGGTGAGTCCCTGACCCTCTGCGAGCGCAGCCTTCTCCTTGGTCACTGGAGGATGAGAATGGAGCGCGTACCTTTCAGGGGTGTTGCGAGGAGTGGAAGCAGAAAGTAAATAAAGTGCTTAGCGTGTAGTAGGAGAGGACAGGAAACCACCTGAATGCCTTACTCGGGTAACTTGTGAAATTGGAGCTTATCCATGCCGTAGACTCTCCCAGAGCGGCTAGTGAAGAAGCATCGTTAGGTGGAAAAGCAAGTTGCAAAATAGTATGTGCAGTAAGACCTGATATATGTAGACACATACACACATTTGGTTTTCCCCGTTTCTGTAGATTCATTTTAAGGAGATGGGCGGAAAAGTCTGGGAGATCATATGTCATGCTGTTCATGGGAGGGTGCAACTGAATTACGGAAGGGAGTTTCTGTTTTGTGTGTTTCTGTATTGTTTAAATCCCCCCGTTTTATTACAGTGGTCTGTGTCACTTTTTTTTTGTTAAAAGAGCAATTAAGGAAAATTTCCAAATCCATACTTTACAGGAGTATCGTAAAGAGGAGCAACGTAAGGTGAAAATACGTGTCCTTCGTTCATATGTACCTGTGGATAAATGGCTTAGACAGGTTCTGTGAGCTCTTTCTTGGTGCCCAAGGTCCAAGATGTGTTTTGGAATTCAGAAGTTTTCAAATTTGAGGACGATAATACAGTACACATGGTATATCAAGTCACTCCACCAGTCCAATCTGCAGCAATACTCAATAATCGAAACTATTAATTTTTTAATCACAGTGTGGTGCACATATAGAAATACACATGGTACATACAGCTTGATGAATATTTACAAACTGAGTAAATACAAAGATGTTTTTGCTGTAAAATATATGAACGTTTATATTAAGTGAGATAAATGGGGATTCTAAATATGCTTTTATCAGTAGGCTGGGGAGTAAAAACCTGGGAGTTTGGGATTTCAGAGCTGAGGATATGGAGCTGTGGATCTGTTTTGGTAGAAAAAAGTCACATGAGCAAGGCATTAGAGGACAGCCTAAAAAAGATAAAAAAAAGATATCTGGGCCAACAAAGGCCAGGAGCAGGCTGGTGTTTGCTCATGTACTCCCGCCGCCCCCCCCCCCCCCCCCCCCCC